GGATAATGTGTCAGAAATACTCATAGCTGTCGAATTCATCATGATTTTTGTTTACTTTTTCTTTGCTTTGTTTTACTTCCTTGACTTATTGTTATAAAATATCTGAATCTAATTATTCCTCTTCCTTGTTTTTTTGGATGTTTTCCATTGGGATCTATTTATACGTGAATTATTTTTCCATCTTGTTATGTTGCCTATGTGCCTCTCGCGTTTGGAGATTTGAGTACCTTGTAGCTTGCCGTCGTCGCTGAAGGTGGTCCACATGTCGGATCCTATGTTGGATAGGGACGACCATGCTTATTGGGAGATATTGTGTTTTTGCTCATACTTTCCAAGATCAAATGGAATAATAGTGAACATGTTTGAAGAGCTTGATCATGTGGTTGTTAATTAAGGCGTAACAGTGAGTTTGTCTTTTCAAGAACCCAAACAAGCTCCTCCTCTTTACCGTGTTGAACCTTTCATAGCAAAATCACTATCCAGGTTTATACTGATACTTTCCCTTCTTATTCAATATAATTATTGTCATTTATTATGTTTCTTTAAGTAGAATATTGTTTGGTATGCACATGTGTTATTATGTTTTTGACAATTTTTAAAGTTGATGGCCCCGCATAATTTAAATTCTAAATTCTATTTGCTTAATCCAGATTGCTAAAACAAGTTGCCTACCAATATATTGTTTTTATATATTGTATCATAATCCCTTTCCCGTTTTTCATCATAGTTGCCCCTCACAACCCACAAGAATAAAATTTAAGTGACAACCACCGAAATTTTGATAGAATTAAGAGTAAATACCTTTTTTGATCCTCAGCAAATTTCACGATACTCGTTTTAGTCCCTAACAAATAAAAAGGTCCATCGTGGTCCCTAAAAAATTCAAAACGGGCCTATTTTAGTCCTTTTAGGTAGGGGTGATAATAAGGCCAGGGGCCTTAGGCCCGGCCCGTTTCGGCTCGGCTCGGCTCGTTTTTTTTATTATTAAGCCCAGACTTATACTCATGCAAAAGCCTTTTTATTTAAAAGCCTTTTTATTTAAAAGGCCTCAGGCTTCCATAGCCAAGCCCGACCTTGAAGCCTTGGAGGCTGGCCCGTATACATTAAATTTATTTATTTTTTATATTTTTATATTAATCATTTCAACATCCTTTTCTCTGTTTTCTGTCTCTACTCTATCTCTTCTCTCCGATCTAAGTCATCGTCCCACCAACAGGTAAATGAAGTCATGTTCATCATCTATTTTTATAAGCCATGCAAATTCCACGGCTTATAATGATGCTTATGGCAGCGACCGTGGAAGAAAATTTAATGTAAAAAGTGGAAGAAAATTTATTGGTGGGGTTCAAATCTAGTGTAAAAAATCTAGAATATTAAGGAATGTGAAAGAAAATTTAATGTAAAAAATCTAGAATGTGGAAGAAAATTAAGGAAAAGCAACGTAAAATAAAGTAAAGGTGTTGTTGTTATTTTGATTTTTTAATATTAATATTTTTTTATTATAAAAGAAACAACTATTATTTTCTTACAAAAAAATACATATCAGTGCATGATTAATGGGCTAAATACGCCTACAAATTGGAAGGTAAGGTTTTTATTTTTAATAAATAAACAGGCCACAGGCTTGAGACATGCTTTTATTTTTTTGTAAACGAACCTGGCCACAGGCTAATATTATATTCGTAATAGGTAACAGGCTAAGGCCAGTCTGACACGTTTAAATACAGGCTCGGCCCGTTAAGATCAAAGCTCGGCTCGGCCTGTTAACACCCCTACTTTTAGGGACTAGTATGGGTCTTTTTTGAATTTGTGAGGGACCACGATTTCAACTAAATGGGTCCATTTTGAATTTTTTAAGGACCACGATGGGTCTTTTTATTTGCTAGGGAGTAAAGCGGACATCGTGAAATTTTCTAAGGACCAAAAATGGTATTTACTCTAGAATTAATTTGATTCTTGTTTACGGTGAACAAAAATTTACAAGTTGTATTTGCTAAGATTTATGAAGAAATAATTGGGATTTTGATATATGGGTAAAGAAAATAAATATTGAATAATGACTTATAATGATGTGATATAATATGATGAAAAAAATAGTTATCCGAATTTATAATATTTATGAAAAATTAAATTATAAAATTATAAAATATAAGAAAATATAAATATTATATCTTAAAAAATCTCACGTGATATTTTGTTTTTTGGAAACCAATCTCACCTGATATTTTGAATTAAGTTAAAAGAGAGAGAATATATTTATAACCAATTTTTACTTACAATCATTTTTACAATTATTGGATTAAAATTAAATCAACAGTTGTAAAATAATATTAAGTGAAAGTCATTGATTTAATTTTAATTCAATAAATATAAAAGTGATTATAAGAGGATATAAAAAAGCAAATTGTAAGGACAACCTCTTCCTAAATTAGGAATAAATACAATTTAAAATATATTTTTCCTTTTAAATTAATTCATTCCATCAAAATTATATCATCATATAATTACATTTTAATTTCCACAATGGTAACCCTTCATGATCATATCTTAATTTATAACACAGCCCAATTCTCACCGTATTTTGTTTATAAATATGTACCCATCCTCTAACTTGAGTAATCTAAACCCTAATTCTCGTCTGAAAAACAGAAACATGAAAAGAAGGAGCGTGGAGAGTAACCTCCACTGGGATGTGATTCATGAAATTCTGTTGAGGTTACCTGTGAAGTCACTTGTTCGTTTCAAGTGTGCCTGCAAATCATGGCATTCTCTCATCTCTGATCCTCACTTTGCAAAATCTCGTTACGAGCTATCTGCCGCACCCTCGCACAAGCTTCTCCACATAGCATCTGTTTCTGAAGCTCGATCCATCGATGCTTATGCATCGCTTAACGATGATTCTTCCGTTGCAAGGCTCATTCTCCCAATTCCAAAGCCAGATAAACATGTTTGGGTTCAGATTTTGGGTTCATGCAGAGGGCTTTTCCTTATAGAAAGATGTCCAAGGAAAAGCCCGCGGGGGGAAACACCACACAATCTTTACATTTGGAATCCATTCACAGGCTTTTCTTGAATTGTGTGTTTTGTTTTTAAAAATAAAGAGCTATGAAGATAGAGAGAGAGATGATTTTCTTAAAATATGTGCTTTTAGGTAATTTTTAGGCTAAATTTTTTTATAATTACTAAACAGCTTTTAGCTTTTTTTTTTAATTTTTTTAGCTTTGACTTATAAATAGAAAAGGAGAGGATCTAAACATGCTCTAAGTTAGTAGCTTCATTGACTTCAAAATTTCCAGGAGGTGATAGAGGTGCTAAACGAGCCAGAGGCCTTTCAGGGACCTTTGACTCGACTCGTGAAGGCCTGAACTTACATGTCTAAAATTGATTGTTGGCACCAGGCTTGAACTTGTATAAAAGCTCGTTTAATAAAAAAGCATTAGGCTCCAATTAAATCAAAAGCTCGGCTCGAGAGCCTCTCAGGCTAGCCTAGTATATTATTTTATATTTTTATTTTATATTTTTTTATACTACTTGTAACAGCCTCTCTTTCTCCTCAATCCATTTCACCTCATTTTATTGGTTAAATAGACTTTTTGAATGGTTTTGTTCTATATTATGCTGTTTGGATATATATTGAATTTATGATATTTATGGAATTACTAGTATTGTTGATTGTATATTCTGTTTGGATAAATTTTTGTTATTTTATTTTTTTTAAAACAAGCTAACAGACTAAATCAGACTTTTACTTTTTGTAAATAAGCCAGGCCACAGGCCTATAATAATATTTATAACAGATAACAGGCTTGGTCAGGCTGACACATTTAAACACAGGCTTAGCCTTTTAAGACCAAAAGTCGGCTCGGCCCGTTAACACCCCTAGGTGATACGATGAAAAGAATGAGATGATAAATAAGTAACCGTAATCACATAAGACTAAATGGGATAAACCAATTTGTAACTCTTTCCTAATAAAATTTGATTTTTATTAGCAAAAAGAGTTTAGAATATTCCCTATCACTTTGAAGCTCTTACACTCGGATTGTGGCTACATTTCAAGGATAATGAATTTACGGAATATTTTTGTTATGAATATCATTAACAAACATTATCCATTATGTAGACCAATGTAAGTGTTGTTTGCAGAAATTATTCATGTTTCTTGATACCAAGAATTTAGGAAAAGGACTATAATTTGGGTCTGTTACAGAATGATTTTCTTAATCTTTGTAAGTATCATAATTCCTTTCCCGTTTATCATCATAGCTGCCCCTCACAACCCACAAGAATAAAATTTAAAGTGACAACCACCTAAATTTTGATAGAAGTTTACGGTGAACAAGAATTTAGAAGTTGTATTTGCTAAGATTTATGAAGAAATAATTGGGATTTTGATATATGGGGAAAGAAAATAAATACTGAATAATGACTTATAATGATGTGATATAATATGATGAAAAAAATAGTTATCCTAATTTATAATATTTATGAAAATTTAAATTATAAAATTAAAAAATATAAGAAAATATAAATATTATATCTTAAAAAATCTGACGTGATATTTTGTTTTTTGGAAACCAATCTCACCTGATATTTTGTTTTTTGGAAACCAATCTCATCACCTGATATTCTGAATTAAGTTATAAGAGAGAGAATATATTTATAACCAATTTTTACTTACAATCATTATTTTTACAATTATTGGATTAAAATTAAATCAACAGTTGTAAAATAATAATAAGTGAGAGTTGTTGATTTAATTTTAATTCAATAATTATAAAAGTGATTATAAGAGGATATAAAAAAGAAAATTGCAAGGACAACCTCTTCCTAAATTAGGAATAAATACAATTTAAAATATATTTTTCCTTTTAAATTAATTCATTCCATCAAAATTATATCATTATATAATTACATTTTAATTTCCACAATGGTAACCCTTCATAATCATATCTTAATTTATAACACAGCCCAATTCTCACCGCATTTTGTTTATAAGTATGTATCCTTCCTCTAACGTGAGTAATCTAAACCCTAATTCTCGTTTGAAAAACAGAAACATGAAAAGAAGGAGCATGGAGAGTAACCTCCACTGGGATGTGATTCATGAAATTCTGTTGAGGTTACCTGTGAAGTCACTTGTTCGTTTCAAAAGTGTGTGCAAATCATGGCATTCTCTCATCTCTGATCCTCACTTTGCAAATTCTCGTTACGAGCTATCTGCCGCACCCTCGCACAAGCTTCTCCACATAGCATCTGTTTCTGAAGCTCGATCCATCGATGCTTATGCATCGCTTAACGATGATTCTTCCGTTGCAAGGCTCATTCCCCCAATTCCAAAGCCAGATAAACATGTTTGGGTTCAGATTTTGGGTTCATGCAGAGGGCTTTTCCTTATAGAAAGATGTCCAAGGAAAAGCCCGCGGCGGAAACACCACTACTTATAGAAAGAGGTTTCCACAGAGAACTGTCGTACTTTGAGATATTGGAAGAGTGTGAATATGAGAAGATATACCTAACTGGTTTTGGGTATGACTCATCCACTGATGATTATTTGATAATAATTGTGCTACGGCGTGATGGTGATATATGAAACGGTTTGGTGCTTTTCTCTTTGAGAACCAATTCACGGAAAGAAATTCAGGGCTTTCATGTTCACGACGTGTATTCATGGCGATCATCATTCTTTAATGACGCTGTTCATTGGTTGGCTCGTGGTGAATATTGTGTAATTCTTGCCTTTGATTTGGTAGAGAATAATCTCTCTGAGATATCTCTGCCAGATGATCTCAAATATGGCTCTTTTTTATTAGATTTGGGAATCATGGGAGAATGTCTCGCTGTTTTTATTGATAGCTTTAATAAAACTCAAGTGTGGGTTATGAAAGAATACAGAGTGCAGTCATCTTGGACTCTGATTGAGATTCCTATGCCACTTTCCGCTGTATGCATGACCAAAGGTGGTGAACTTATTGCATTAAGTTCTAATGAGTTGATGAAATTTAATGAGAAAGGAGAATTGCTGGAACGTTGTGAATATCGTTGTGATTATGTGATTGGGTTCCACTTAGCTATGTATACAGGGAGTCTTTTTTCACTCCCTAGGAACAACGATGGAAGCATGGAAACAACATCAACAGAAACCGACCAGGAGAAATAGGAATGTCTAAATTGTGGTAATTTCAATTATTTATTTACAAAATTCATAGCTTTATTTTGGAAACAAGGTTTGTTTGACTTGTTCTTATTATTGCGGCATCATGTTTTATTCAACATAACTTTTGATCTATTGTGGCATCATATATATGTTTGTTGTTTATTTAGTTATGCTCTCCAATTTATCAGTTGACCAAGCTAGCTTAGCAGCATCATAGCATGCGGGAAAAAATATGTGGTCAGAGAGAAGAAACATGCATTGACAATTTTGAGTGCGAGATCAAACTAATTTCTTAATTGAAGAAATTTACAAAGAAGAGGACAATGACAAGTAGACCTTTTATTTATTTGTTTCTTTATTATTTTATTGTTTTATGCTAAAGCATTGATAAGTAGACCCCAAATAATTGACTCAAGTTTGCAAAGCGATATTAGGACGAAGGTTGCTACGTAGTTAGACACTGAGGAGGAAGTCTACCTCAACACCACATCACAATTGGTAAAATTCACCAAAAATAAAATAAAAATAAATTACAGTCACTGCACATCATATGAGGTCATTGACTAACTCACACGATGCACTTTTGAACCATTTTTGGGTAGATAACCTTGTTTGAGTTTGTGAGGGATATATAAAATTATTAATATAATTTTATTTAATGGTTTAAGTTTTTGAATTGAATTGATTCTTTACATGATATTAGAGTCTTGGTATTCCGAATTCGATCATCATCGTCTTCTATTTTCTTTATAGAATTTCTTAGCACGTGTTGAGTCTGATATATTATTTATCTTTTAAGCTCAATGAACTCTTTTGTAAATGGCGTGATAGAAATATATAAAATCATTAATATAATCTTACCTAACAAGTAAAGCTTTTAACTTAAATTAGTTGTTTATATAATTCTATCACTTTCGGTGCCAATTTGGATAGACTTTGACGGGAAAAAAAAATTAAAATATTACTTTTTTAATAAATAATTACGAATAAGTTGCTATTTCGAATCTATTTACGGATCCATTGTACTTACTCACGCCCAGATTAGACGTGACTATTCACGTCTAAGTTAGGCGTGACTCCCAAAGCATTTATGCCTAATTTAGGCGTGACTCGTTCGGTGTTGACACGTGGCACAAAAAGTTAATAGTTTAATCGTAAAACTTCATAAGGCCATAACTTTTGACTCAAGTATCCGAATCAGGTAATTCTTTTTTTGATTCCACATAACTTTTCGAAATCTACGCAATGACATCTCATTTGATATATTTTATCTCTTACAAACACATTTCAAATTTGCAATAATGGTACTATAAAGATTGCACCAAAGTAGATTAGTCCATCTATAAATAAGGGTATCTAATGTCATATTAAAATATATACTTCTACCAAGTGTTTGAATAAAAATCCATTTAAAGTTTTATGACTTTTTTTCTGTAAAGCCATTTAAATTATATATGCCTAAGAGAAAGAAAAAATAAATACATTAAAAAAAAGAAACTAACGAGTATAAGAAAAGAAAACTAAATCTGAAATCGAATCTGAACTCTAAAGTTTGGAAACTAATAGCTGAGTCATTATGGCTGGATTTCAAAAATCAAATGTTTCTTCCTTAAAGATTTAGAATATTTATTTAATTATTTCCTTTATTAATACAGATTTTTTAAATTGATTTTTTAGTTTAAATCACAAATCAAATCTTTATTTTGTTTTCCTTATTATTAATAATTTTTAAATTTTTTTAATGTAAATCACAAACCAAATCTTTATTTATTTTTATATTAAAAAATAAAAAATTTGATTTTTTTAATTTAAATCATAAAATCAAATCTTTATTTGTTTTTTTATATTAAATCACAAACCAGAACTCGGAAGCTTATGGTTTAAACGCTCTTATAATATCATCATTCCAAATTTGAATTGTTTTTATGAGAGATAAAATATGTCAAATGAAGTGTCATTGAGTAGATCTCGAAAAGTTTTATGGAATCAATTTTTTTTATCTGATTTGGATACCTGAGTCAAAAGTTATGGCTTTACAAAGTTTACGGTTCTTAAGTTGATTTTTTTATGTCATGTGTCAACACCAGACGAGTCATGTCTAAATTAAGCGTGAATATCTCGTGAGTCATGTCTTATTTAGACATGAATAAGTGTAATAGATTTGTAAATAATTTTAAAATAGTCATATATTTATAATTATTTATTAAAATAATAATATTTTAATTTTTTTGCCTAGACTTTGGACATTCAAACAAGAACATGTCCAAAATTGGATATGTGAGGATACAGATCATCATCCAATTTGATTTTTGTTTAGGTTCCCAGTATCATTTAAGTTGCGGAGTAAATCTTCTTTTTAGGTCTCTAACAAAAAAATATAATCCTCACTTTCGTCTCTTATAAAAAAAAATACACATTAATTTCTTACAAAAGTTATTTTTTTTATAAAGAATAAAAGTGAAGACTATATTTTCTTTATTATGAACCCAAAACGGAAGCTTAGTTTGTGTGTGCACAACAAGCCCCTTGCAATTTCTTAGAGCAATGTATAATCTCGATGCCCATGATAATGACGGTAATGAATTGAAAGGTCCAAAAACAACCACGTAAAACACCCGGTACAAAGCAGAAAATGCTTCAATCAACCTTTTTAAATGAAAAGTGGAAACTTTAAATGACCGGACAACCACTATTAGGGGATGACAATAATTGCATTGGAAACAATGGGTTTCAGTCACTCAAAAAGGGTTACAAGTTTTTCAATTTATTACAGGGAAATTGTTATTTTATCTTAGATAATTGTCTTACGTTGAACGTTCATAAAATCTTATATTTCTTTTTTCTTTTCTTTTTATTAAAAATTATGGGTCCTATAACTTTGTTTCACTCATATAAAATATGTATCTTATGCGAGAGAAGATTAATAGCTCCCTTTATTATAAGGGATTAATATTTCTGATATTATAGTAAATAATTTTATCTTCTACATATATAAAATAAAAGTATGTAAAATTCATACGGAGCCATACAAAAAAGAGAGAGAGAAAAACAAAATACGAATCTCACATATTTTTATGTGATAACGAGATAAAATCTCCTATATCATGAGAAATATTAATCTCTATTATTATAATATGCACAAATTAAAGCAGGACCACAAAAATACTTATGGATGAAATTAATCCAACGCCCATAAGAAAAGCTAAAAACAATAATAAAAATAGAAAAGATTTACCTGCATCAAGTTATAACTCCGTGATCACAGACAAAAGGCATTAAAAATGGGTTTAGTTCTATGTGCATAAGCATAATTTACTAAAGGGGTGTTTGGTACAAAGTCTTTTTTAGGATTCAGGAAAATTAAATATTTTGAATTTTTAATTTTTGGATATTATCGTAAACGGAATGTTTTCACCATAAAAATTATGATTCTCGAATAAAAAAAATTTCTTTACCAAACGTTTCCTAAAGATCAGGGTGGCAAAACTTTCACACCTTTTTTTTTTTTTTTCGTTTTAATCTCTATTATTTACAATAGCAAGCTTCGGGTATCTGTGTTACAGGACAGAGTCTCTTGCAAGCTGCCCACATTATCCAGCTCACAATCATGAAATTTTTTAATATGTTCTTGGATCATGATCCTCCCGTTAAAAGAATGACATATGGAATTTTTTATTTTTATTTTCTTCCTTCTCTCTCCTCTCTTCTCAATCTCTCTTTCACTCTCTCTTCTCGGTTCCACCTAATATTTTGTCGGCCGGGAACCGCCAAAATAAATCTGCTAAATCATATCAACAAAACACCAGCAATTCAACATGTGGAGCACATGTTCTCATAATAGAACAACCTAGGAAGAAACACCTTCTTGATTTGGGAGATTCCTCAATCACAGGATATGCATGACAATTAGTTTATTTCATTTATATGTTTAGAAAAGTTTATGTACACAAAAAGATATTTAATAACACATATTCTACCATGTATGATTTAATAGATTGAGAGTTTCTTTAGTTCAATTTTTAAATCCTAATAATACATTTTATTAGGTATATATTTAATGGATTCCAAACTTTGGTGTTGTTGCACCACTTTTTTGGTGCAGCAGATGCAGAAAAAATGGCTCTACTGAATTATTTATTTTTTTAAAAGTTATAGGTATATATTGTTGTAAAAAAATTTCTTCTACAACAACAAAAGAAGTATAAAAGTCATATTTAGTATGGTCAAATCAATTTATATCAGTATAAATTTCACTCTAAATTTTGATAATTGATCTTGTTTATATATGATGATTTTGATTTATTAGATATAAAGATTGAGTGTAATGACTTTTATTCTTATATCGGTATAAAAATAACTGCCCCTATTTTTTTTTTGGTAAACACCTGCCCCTATTTAATAAATAATAAAATTGGAAATAAAAAAATTATTTTTCTTTTCAATTTTTATTTATGGGCTATTGATTCATTCTCTAAAAAAATGGATTTTATCAAACACAATTTTTAATTGTTTCTTTCCAAACTTAAAATTGAAAAAAATAAATAGCAACAACTAGATATTCTTTAACGGGGAAGATTATATTTACAAACTTTTTGTTTACAAACTCTTACAAACTACACTATGTCTGACCGATCATACTTCAATCAAGAATGTATAACTGGTGATACTTAGTATAATTTGCAAACTAAAGTTTGTAAACAGATCATTCTCATCTTTAATACCACAAACAACACATGGAGTAAGGGAATACGATCAGTAGTGCATTTGTTTGTATAAACTTTAAACAGAAATCTCAACCAATTTAAAGCAAATAATTACGCCCTCATATTCCTTTAGGCTTTGTTTGGGAGTTGGTTTTATGAGTGGAAGGAAAGGAAATGAAGGGTTTTAGTAAGCACTTCCCTTGTTTGTGAGTTTAAAAAAAGGAGGGGAAGAAATTGAGAATTTTTTCAAAATCCTCCTTCTTCTTAAAATTAAAGTTCCCCCAACCCCAATTTGGAGGG